AAACAATGCTTTTATTGCTTTTTAAGGTGCTTAAACTGTGTTCAATTTAAAAACCATCATTAAAAAATGTTTAAAACAATTTCTTATTTTGTTTCTCAAGACAAAAAATGAAAGTAAATGAACCTAGAGATCTTCTATAGAAAACATATGTGTCGTTATGGTTGCACTGCTCGAAGCCATCAGCTGATATGCAAAAGGCGGCAAAAGGATGATTCAAAAACAAAAACATACACGATAAGAAAACATATCCAGCGGCCAGTTCATTTTTGTCTACTTTTGACTTTGAGTATAATCATATTCATCTACTTTTGGGTACAACTAACTATTTTTGTGTAGAAGCGAATTGTCAATTCCACACCAATTGAACACAATCAAATGAAAACTCTTTGACCCACATTGCCTTCTTTTGGCTTCCTGCAATATAGTGCCAAGATTTGTGAAAATAAGTCACATTTGGATTTTTTTCTTACCGTGTACCTGGAGGTTTGAGCTCTGGAATCACTTTTGAACAGGTCGTATGTAAGCAAATTGTACAAAGGGTAATGTTGAATCAATTAACTACTATGATGACTTGACATGTTGGTCTTGGTGGCTAGGCGCATAATTATTTTCTATATAGGAAGGAGCGTCCTGGGAGGTGGTAGGTCGATAATATTGGCAAATTAATAGAAATGTAGTGATAGTCTCAATATTGGATGATAAAGAGATATCTTTATCTTTTAAAATTGACGAAGGTTGAAATTTACAGTAAGATGGACATAACTTACTCTTTACCTTTCTTATTTTTTTATCAACTGTTACACATTCGACATAATAATAACGAACTCTAGCACCCATGTTTACGGTATTTTCGGTAGTGTATGATGTACACTCACACCACTACAGCATCAATGATAATCAATTCACTGACCCATAGAAAGGAGAGAGAAAAAAGCAAAAAAGCTGACGTATCCTATCACCTTATGCTATGATGGTCATTCTTTCCTCGTACATACAATAAACAGTTCTTCAAACTGCCAATAACCAACAACCAACACCAACCTGACTTCTACCAAACCCCAACCCGATGTTGGCCCGACATTGACCCGACATAAACACATACTTGACCCGACATTTGGCCGACGTCGATCATAAATTGACCTTACATTGATCCGACATCGGGCCGACATGTCTATTCGGGATCATTTTTCTGGTTTATTCCATACTCCACTGCCGTATATCAATTGTATATAATGTTTCGTGACAGCCACTTGGGTAAGCTGAGGGATGTCGTCGGTTTGTGAAGGCTGTCATGACGACAGAAAGATTGAAACCCTGGTCATAAAGAAATGTATAACGGCGCCGGTGGTGTAGTGGTAAGCGTGATTACCTCTCACCCCAGCAGGCCTGGGTTCAATCCCAGTCGGCGCCGCCGGGATGTTCTGAGGCATAACATCTCTGATCACGCCTTCCTTCGGATGGGAAGTAAAGGCGTTGGTCCCCGGTTCATGAGTTGATGGGTCGATAGGTAGGGTCCAGGTGTGGGAGCTGCCTTCCTGGCACGTCGGTAGCATTGGTGCTCAGCACGGAAAACAAGATCGACGGAAAAAACAAACCAAAGGAAAAAAAAAAGTGAACCTAGACCAGGCCTGCCCAACCTATCAAAACTTGCTTTTTTTAAATGTCTGAATCTATTTTCAATGAACATGTTTCAAGCTGCATTTTGTTTCTTTCTCATTTATTATGGGCTGAAATTCATAATGTTGCATAAAATTGGACTAGAATGATGCCATTGCTGAGACCCAGAGACCATGTCCGGCCAGCGGGCAGTATATTGGGCAGCGCTGACCTAGACGATGAAATCCGCAGAAAAGATCGAACCATGCAAGAGAATCAACAACTTTCGTCGGATATAAATACAAGGATGAAATTCTTCGTGTTGGAGGACGTCTTGATCGATCTAAGCTGCCTTTTGAGTTGAAGAATTTAGTCGACAACATTAGCGTCACCCTAACCTCAATATACCTGTTCAACAACTCTCAAAACGTAAACAAATAAAAAAATATTGGTCCCATAGACTTCTCTGACGTTTGTGATATGCACAAGTATTAGTGCAGAACTCGGGGTAAATTATAAGTATTAGTGCAAGAAAACCTTTGAATTCACCCAAAGTTCTGCACTAATACTTGTGCAATTCATAAACGTCAGAGAAGTCCATTGAACACAAATCAGTGAAACTAGTAGACCCTGTGCCATTTCAAACTGATTTGAATGTAAACATGACCCTAAATACCGTTTTCAAAGTTATTGAACAGGTAAAAAGTGAGGTTACGTGACGCCACTGCCAGACAAGGGTCCACTGGCAAAACTATTCATTCGCACTCTGCACTCTGAGTTACTTGATTTTTCCTAGTTTTCACGGTAATTTCCTGATATACCTGGTTCGCTGTCCATACAGCTGAATTGATTTCAAATCAGGTCCAGATTATTTTCCCAAAATTTAAGCTTATTTGGATGCGATCTCATACTGCACTCTGCACTAGCTCGGCTTAATAAACCCGATTTAAAAAAAACACACACACATTTTTGTTGCCCTCCATTCCTAAACGCCAGGGCTGGAAGCGGTTAGTGCCCAAGACTTAGTGACCAAATAGTTTTGGAAATAGTTATTAAAAAGTGACTTATAGTCACCCGGAAAGTGACCAGAACAGCGAAAAATTTTAGTAGTAGTATTAGTGATGATTTTTATTTTGTATAAAGGGAAATACCAGAGAATCATGAGCTGTTCTTTTAAGGTTAATTGTTGTAATATTTAAACATGTCTTCTTAATGCTTTTGGAATTTTGGATTTCATTCGAGGAAATTACATTCGGGAAATGGCATTCGGGGAAATGGGGTATATGTTTGTATGGGATTCGGGGATATGGGGGCATTCAGAAAAATGGCGTTCGGGGAAATGTAGCACAATCATACCTAGTACTTTTGACCGGAGCTTTGTCGACATAGCTCTGGAGTTGTTGTACAAATGGTCGAAATTGACTCTTCAAATAATTAAAATTTAAACTAGGTAAGTAGAATTCAGGCTTAGTGGAGTAAACCCGTTTCACACACACCAAACCCAAAATCTGAGATGCAAATCCGCTTTAAATCCGCATAGTCCTAATCCGTAACAACCCTGCATTTATTTATTTTTCTGAAATGTGCATTACATATTTATTTTAACTGTGTTTGCATCGTTTCATGATCATGTCAACAGGTTTTGCTTAATCGTAGCAAATGTTCCCAATGTAGGTAACACTTTGTCGAACAGTTTAAAATTAATTACAACAACTCGAACTCCGCAATAAATATTTTGAGATTTCTTTTTTTTTTTTCTTTTCCTTTTGGTTTGTTTTTTCCGTCGATCTTGTTTTCCGTGCTGAGCACCAATGCTACCGACGTGCCAGGAAGGCAGCTCCCACACCTGGACCCTACCTATCGACCCATCAACTCATGAACCGGGGACCAACGGCTTTACTTCCCATCCGAAGGAAGGCGTGATCAGAGATGTTATGCCTCAGAACATCCCGATGGCGCCGACTGGGATTGAACCCAGGCCTGCTGGGGTGAGAGGTAATCACGCTTACCACTACACCACCGGCGCCGTTAGATTATTTCTTCTAGACATTGAATAAATTACTCACATTTTACATCAATTTGCATAAAATGAAACATGAAATAACCTTTGTATCATGTTTCTAGCACCAGATTCCTATTCAGGGAACCCATGTTAATTGACTTAGTAGTAAACTAATTTTAATAGCAAAAAAAACTTAATGAATAACATTTAAAATAGGAACACAACATACCTACCGTAGATAATTTTTTATATCAATTCAAACGTAAAAGCAGTAATACCAACAATCACTACGAAACTAACGATTTTAAATTGGCTCACCACTTTAGTAGCCTATTGGTCCCAAGCAAACGATTAACGTACCCTATTCTTGTCGAAATTCTAGTACTACGCAATGTTTGTTTTGATTCGCTAAGAAAGTTTGACAGATGAAATGAGGGGTTATTGGTTTTTCCTATGTTTCGAGGGGTGAATCGATTAGCTTGGGACCGAAGAGAGTACCAGAGCTGAGCCAAAAAGTTGAGCTCGTTTCTTCGGGACTTTCTGGTCTTAGAGTTACCTCTATGGCAATACCATAGAGGTAACTCTAAGACTAGAAGGTCCCGAAATAACAGTGCGTAGTACTAGAATTTCGACTAGAATGTGGTACGTTAATCGTTGGCTTGTGACCAATAGGCTAGTCAAGCAGTGAGCCAATTTAAAATCGTTAGTTTCGTATTGATTGTTGGTAATACAGAACATGTAAAATAATACTGCAAACGGTCATCCTAATCATAACTTATCAATCAAAAATTCAAATATTTTCGAAACTTAGAGAAGTTGTAATTGATCAAATTAAATAACAATTCAATGTTAGGAATGTAAAATGCAAGAAAAAATATAAATATATTAAACATTCAGGAAAAATCGTGCTTAATTAACTCTGAAACGATAGTTTGTTTTACTATTTATTAAGTAAATTAAAAATGCAACCAATATGTTACTAACAGGGCTATTTTAGGTATGCTTGCAGTTCATCGCTGCAGTCTGTTGTAATATTATTTAAGCTTAGCATTTTAACACTTTTGACAACATTGTTCGGTTTGATCTCGTTGCTATTTTCCACTGCTGTTCCATCGCTTGGAATATTAAAAGCTGGCCAATTGCCTATGCAAAGCTAAGACAATGATCTTTGGCTAAGTAACCTTTCTAGACACCCAAAAAACGCCACAGACGAGACACTGGGGGCATAAAATACATCTAGCAGTTTTCTTTTCTAACCCACAGTGTAATGTCGAAATTTGCACATAGTAGTAGACACCTTGTACTACCAAGTTTAGTGGAACGCTAGATCCGGGGAAGTCAAATGTATGTATCACAAAGAAGTATTCATGTTCCAGAGGTTTTCACATTTGCATATACTCACACTCAGCAACAGTACTTGTAAAAATACATGGGAAAAACTATTGGTGCGGAAAAATAAACATTTTTCACTGATATTAAGCAAATATTAAGTATGCCAGACGACGATGATTACAACAAAATTATCTTCCAAGTATTATTGGCAGTAAATCACTAGTATCTTTGCTGTAATTGACGATTATAGAAGTCTCTACTGAAGTTTTCCGAGTTTTTTATAAGTGAAAACAGGGAGTGACAGATTCGATGCGTCATTTGACATATACACATAACTGTTAAACTACTCAATTAGAGTTAACGAAAAAAAAACAGTGTTGTACTCAAAACTGTACACGGTGTTTCGCGAAAACCCATTAATGGGTATAAAAATACCCATTTCCGCTAAAAGTGCCCCTCTTCATTTAATGACGGTGTTTCGCGAAAACCCATTAATGGGTATAAAAATACCCATTTCCGCTAAACGTGCCCCTCCTCATTTAATGGGTAAACTATGGTTTACTCATAAATGGGTAAATGGGTGGTCTATCAATAAATGGGTGTTTTTTCACCCATTTTCTTATATTGTGTTTACCGTAAAATGGGTGAAAAAATACCCATTTTTACAAATGGAGGATGCAAGCACTCGTTGATGTAAAAATGTTTTTAAAACATTGAAAATAAATGCAGGTGTTCCGCTCAAATTTTTCACGAAACATTATAATACAAATTATCCATTGTATTGACTTATCCGTAAGCTTCTCAAACACGCAGAAAAAACTATCGTCAAAACAAAAATATTTGAGGTAAATTTAAACGTAAACTCAGTTTGTTCTGGCCACAAAAATAAATTAGGTTAATTTCAAACGTATTCCATGTTTGAAGTCATGTGAAATCAATGTTTAAAATAAAAATCATGTTACGTTTATTTTAAAAATATTCGTGTTGAAAATAAACGTATTTGTTTTTGTTTGGTTTGACAGCTATGCGAACAAAAATAAATATTTGAATTTTAAACATGCTTCTCATGTTTAAAATAAACATACATATTTGGAAATTATTTTAATAGTTGAGTGCAGGGTAAAGCAAGATAAAACGCATTGCAAAGAAATGAAGATCTTCGGGCAGGGCATCTAAATTCATGCTCTTTCACCCTGCAATTAAGGGTGACCTGTAAGGTGGAGGATGATATAGGGATCGGCATCAGAAACTGAAGTTGATAGTGTGGGGTTCCGCCGGTTTTGTCGAGCTGGTTTCCGGATCCATCTTCGGTTTTGCGACTTTCGGGCCGTTTTTTGTTGAGTTGAGCAAAGGTGGGGCAACTTTTTCCGAATGTAACAAGAAGGAAATAAAAAGGCATGACACGCTAAAAGCCGTTTACCCAAATCCAATATTGTTGAAATAAACATGCTTTTGAATTTAATTCAAACATAAATATTTTAGTTTTAAACATGCTTTCAATTTACTTTAAATAATTCATATGTTTAGAGAATAAACAGTTATATTTTTGTTTTAAATGAACAAAATTTGTATCCGTGAACGTTTTGGATTCTAACATTTTCCGGAGATCGTTTACTTTCGCCAAATATGCTGCGGACAGTAAAGGCCGACCCACATTAGATCCGGTAAGCAATGCGGATTTTTGACAGCTGTTTTAAATACATGGGATTATATGGGGTAACGCACATTGCGTCCGGGGGACTTTGCCGCTCAGTACTAAAAAGTACTAAACGCAAACTCGACCGCAAGCCTTTCACGAGATTTGACACCTCTCAAATCTTGCGGCTGACTTTGCGGGAAAGAGAATGAAAACACCGTCATTTCTCATTTGTTGTTGTTCGTTCAGAGACCGGTTTTCTTAAATTAAGTGTTTTTTTTTTCAATTATTATTAATTTTTTATGTAAACAACTGCTGCGTGTGAAGTGTTTTCACCTGAAAGATTATTCAGGTGAGTTTTAGCAAAGCCTTCAGCAAAAGTTCTCGCTTTTTCTGCAGGGAAGACGACAAGGGTTTTTCCTCGGGTTTTTCCAGCTTTGAGGAAGAATTCAAGAAATTGGGTTATGTTTCATATTCCAGATTAATTCCAGAATCTAGATGTTCCACCGAATTTCTATGTTAGGCAACTTCCGGACCTTTTACTGTGGCCAAAACAATACTCCCGGTTGGACAGGAACCTGAAGCTTTATAAAATTTCATCGTTTTTGAAAGTTGATAGTACCATTCCAATGCGTGAGGTTTAATAGCCTTCGTTATTGATTCTTTGGACTTCGTTCATCCACTAGGATCGAAAATTGTTGTTTTGTTTCCAAATGGCCATGGGGCCATCCTCTGGTAAGTCCAAAACATCCATGTGTTTTTCAAAAACTGCGGAGCTCTAGGATCAGTTTAATGGATTGACCACTTTTACGGATGTTCCGGATCTTCCGGAGGACGGTCCCATGGACATCCAGGTTCATGTTTATGTCACAACCCCAAATTGCTTCTATCACAGTTCCTAATGTTTATAAAAAAAACGTGGATTTTTAGGATCAGGATCGTGGATTTACTACTTTTACGGATGTTCCGGATTTTTTGAGGACCGTTCCGTTGTCTCCAGGATCCATATATAGGAACCATGACTGTTTTCTGGCTAATTGTGAACATTTGTGCCCATTAATCTAAATTACAGATCTTGCGCCACTTGCAAAACCCTACAAACACACTTAAAAAAAACGTGTAAAAAAGTAGACGACTTTAATTTTAATCTTTTTGCAATCGAAATCATTTACAAACCCTAGGAATTCTAAAGGTACCACAATTTTTGAAATTCATTAAGAAATGGCTAAGTTATGCCATTGCAAACTTGCCGTTACACGTTTTTCGGAGGCATCGTATTCGGAGTGTTAATTAAATATTACGTAACGTTGTAATACGTATTATTTTAATGATCCCTAATATGCTTGTTTACGATATTTTTTCAGAACTACAAGCAACTATGTCGAGAGTCAACCATTGGGACATGAGGAGTTCCTGGACGAAACAGAAGGAGATCCAAAGGAAGGCCAACACTGGGCGCCATTCGCAGTTTGCGCAACTTGTGGACAAAAAGCTGTCGGCTTTGTCGATAGACGTGGCAAACCAACTAGAAGGCAGGCTTTTAAGCATGATTTATGAAGTGGTTGCAGAAAATGCTAATATTAATTAACATGTATTGACTGTTCCATTGACTGTAATAAAAAAAATGATAAAGATACTATTGGTTGCGTTTGGGATATTACATATCTTGGTGTGATTTTTGATGACTTAAGTTCAACTCTCACATTGAAAACGTCATCAAGAAAATTACTTAGAAGTATGGAATTCTATGTCGATTGAAAAACGAATTAACTATTACCAGTAAAATACCGTATGTGTCATAATGTATGCACCACTTTCCACCTGCACCTTGCACCTTGTTCCAAGTACTTTTATAGCGTACTCCATTCTAGTCGAAATTCTAGTACTACACTGTTTGTTTTGATTCGCTTTGGAAGTTTGACAGCTAAAATGAGGGGTTCGTGGATTTTCCCATGTTTCGAGGGGTGCATCGATTAGCTTGGGACCGAAAAGAGTACCAGAGCTGAGCCAAAAAGTTCAGCACGTTTCTTCGGGACCTTCTGGTCTTAGAGTTACCTACCTGGAGTACGTTCATCGATGTACTTGGGACGGATAGGCAGTCCAGTCAAAGATGAATACTAAGATGAAACTGTCGGAAGAAAAACTTTCTATTTTAGTGTCTTCTTTCACGGTCCCTTTCATCCAATGAGAACCCCCCGTATTCAAGGTAATTTTGTGGTTGTGCTGCCCCCTCGGAAGAGATGAAATTTTGCGCTCATTTTTATCAAAACAATCACACCAAAGTCAGAGATGTCCCATTTTTTAATTACTCGATTAACAACTAATCGATTATTTTTTGTTCGCTGTGCTGCCATTTTTATACCAATGAGAGTGCAGCACATGTTTGAAACGATCGGTGATGATCCTGTGGTGATGTTAATGCTTATATCGGCATGATGTAACCGATTATAAATAGTTTACTTTTCGGTTCGTTAATCGATTAAACGATTATTCGAATGAAAATCGGACATCACTAGATGGATGTGAAACGTCATTTCAAATATAAGAACCGTTCATAAATAATGATACAATTTGAAAGGGACCGGGGCTAATCACAAATTACGTCTCCATGGTAACTGAAATGTAAATGCCTTACAATTTTTGTGTAAAAAAAGCTTTTGTGATTAAATTATGTATTATTTAGAAAGGGTTTGATCTGGAACTGAGCCAATATACTTACATCAGAGTTAGGTACAGTCGGAATGTTGGTGACAAAGCTGCTCGTGGAGAAAAAATTTCCAAGCGATGTGCTATCCGATCTAACAGTCCTTGGAATGTATCAGGATCCATGCGCGTTGCTCGAATAAACCGTTCCGGATGCTGAAGCATTGTTTGGAAATGTGCAACAAAGAACCCTCGTTTTTGGCGGTTCTGCAGTAGGGGATGAGCCCACCACCTTCTCTCAATGGGTTGTGGACAAGCTCTCCGTGATTTGTACAACTGGTATATTTGTACAAGCTTAATCAAATCCATTGTTCGAAGGGTTTTCTATAAATTCTCCAAGTCAACTACCAGACGAAAACAACCTCGATAAAAAAAAAACAACAAACATCAACAGAGGCACTGTCACTGACGGACGAGTTAACGCACGTAATGTGCGTTGTCATCCGTTGATACTTGCGTTTTGCTGTTTTAGTACAACGGATCAAAATCCGCAAACTCAGCCGCAAACGCAACGGATCTAATGTGGGTCGGCCTTAACTGTTTGCATCGAGGTTTGCATTCCCAATGAGCCGGTGACGGAAATGAGACGATAAAATTTCGAAGTGTTTTTTCACCCATTAATGGGTAAAAAATATACCCATTATTCAACCGTGAACTGATTCTTTAAATGGGTATTTTTTCACCCATTTTATGATTTCAAAATTCCCCCATTTTTTGACAGCTGCATACATGGTTTGAAAATGGGTATTTTTTTTACCCATTAATGGGTTTTCACGAAACACCGTGTATATATAACGTTTAGTACACTCATGGCGGTAAGCTCCAACTCGGATTAACTTTTAATACCGTCCCTGTTTGTATGATCTGAAAAATGTTTGCTCAGAGTTATGTTGATTAACTTTGATGTCGACATCAAACCAGCCGGAAATTCTTGATCGGGATTTGATCCGAGGATAATACCGGTTGGAGCT